TAAAACCACAAAAACACTAAAACTACCAGAATTATGCCGGCCGACAAGGTTTTGCAGCATCTGCTAGAGTTGCTCTACTACCGCAAAAAAAAAAAAGACAGAAACAACATATAAACTGATGACACACACATAAAAAAGGAAAAGAAATAAACGAATTGTGAAGTCACCAGTTACAGCCGTTAACATAGCTCACTGCACCCATCAAGTGTGCTTGTCAGGTAACAACATCTCACGCTTAAGACTAATCTAAACGAGCAACAAGATTCCAAGATACACGAGCCATACAAACCAACCCCAGTTACATTGCAAAATTCTCCGTCTAGGACTGCATGGCGTCATCCCCATCTGAATCCCCTTGCACTTCACTGAACATGTAGTCGCTCTGGCTGTCGATCAAGAACTGCGTCGATCTCTTCACGTCCAGAAACAGGTGGTACACCCGGCTTATATCCTCCATCTCCACCACCTTGCCCTTGCGCTTCTGGCAAGCCAGGCCGGCAGAAGTGATCAGCTGGATTGCGTACCTGAGGGAGGTCTCGGTGCCAATCTTTGTGAGCAGATCCTTGCCCTCAGCAGACATTTCAACGTCTTCTTCCTCGCACCTGATGTCTAAGATCTTCCTGATCTCCTCCACCGTGTATGGTTGTGTTGTGATGATCAAGAGGCGGTCGAGAAAATCCGACGGTATACCATGTGGTGACCGGTAGTTGGTCCCGCGTATTGTTGTAATACCTCGATTCGTCGCAATAACAAGGATCGGAGCCATGTCATTCTCCAGAGCACGGTTGAGGAAGGAGAAGCATTCAATGTCCAGCATGTGGACTTCATCGATAAACAGAACGCCAGGGACGATCTCAGCCTTCCCTTCCTCTCTCCATTCGGCAACTTTTGTGTCGATCTGCTCCCTAACCTCTGCACGAATCTCACCAGTGTCACCAGTGAAAAGTGCAAGGAAGCCTTGTGTCCTGAACAGGAATAAAAAGATAACAAAAATGAGTTGGTTGGGGCATTTAAATTCCCAAAGTAAACTACACTCGTTGTCTCGAATATGCATATGAAACAAAATACTCTTTTGTATCATGCGATGTGATCAAGGATGCGATGGGGAAAAAGAAAACTTTGCTGGTATAAGGAAGATTGTAACAGAAAAGTTTGAAATTGTTCAAAACTATTTAAAGCAGCACTGTCATCTAAGAGAAGTATAGAATAATGTCAATAGTTTGGCATCAAAGACCTTCAGGAATAAAAAGATAGCAAAAATGCCACAGTAAACTACAGTCGAATACGCATATGAAACAAGATACCCGCTTGTATCA